AAAGTCATTGACGCTATTTCCTCATTCAAATGGAAATAGCGTCAACAATGCTTAAAGTATGTCGATTCATAGAAAAAAATGTTGTTCTTACAATAAACATTGCCCCGTAAGTGTTGTTTTTTAATAAATGAAAAAGGTTATTGCCGAATCCTCAGTGTTGTGATATTAATCCACACACAATCATGAACCACCAATTGATTTTATTAAACAAATTTAAATTACGAATATGTAAAAACACGATGCGAAAAACTAAACGCCTGCGCACAGCTGGAATACGAGAAATATTTGAAGAAAGAGTGTGGAAATGATCCATAACTTGCAAAACATGTTTCGTTTCCACAAAAATAAAGCGAACACTATTAAATTGAAGAAACAGTCCATGTCCAAAAACCCCGGAGGAGGAACACTGAAAGAATTCTGTGTTTTAAATTAGCATATTTTGAACGAATTCGGAATGTCTAAGGTGGAAAAGAAACCAACCTTTCTATAAGGAAACAATTATAGAAAAAGACTTTTCTTACACTGTATTCATGTCTCCGCCAGCAATTTGTGACGACATCATTTAAAAGCAGCTAAGTAGAATGACGACACTATTTATTAGATGGCACATTCAACGAGCCAATGTGCCAAAATGCGGGTATAAACAATTATTGATTATTTAATATCGGAACCGAGATCATATAAGTTAATTAATTGGTTTTCACACACTTTTGAAACACAAATTATATGCCTTTTTACTGCAGACAAGTTGTTGCCCCAAAACACAGCAGAAATCTTCCAATCAGGGCTGCCAACTATCCTTAGTTATGAGGTGCCATATTGAGGATAAAAGAGTGCCAAAATGCGCCAAAGAGAAAAATAAAAGTGCCAAAAAAGGTGTTATTCCTTTTAATCATTCACATTTATCAATAAAATAAAGCCACATTTTCAAAACAAAAGTGCAATGATAAAATAGGATAAACCAGTTGAATGGCCTTTATAAATTAGAAAATTTTAGTTGAGAAAAAGAAGTGCAAGCAAAGGATTTCACAAAACTGAATTGAAATGTTATTTTTTTTACAAAAGTGCCATTTTGGCACTTTATGCCAAATTGAAAAATTAAGTGCCATTTGAAGTAAAATAGGGACAAATGGCACAGTTTGTGCCAAGGCATCCCTGCATCCAATAACTTACAAATATAAAAAGGTGAAATATCGAGGGCTTGAATTCATTAATACCCTCTATCTGCAATTTGCACAAAAACTAATTTGTGATTTTAGAAACCATCTGGGTCCTGTCGTTATATAAGGTAACATTAATATCACTGATGACAGTTAAAGCTTAGGTGGATTTTTATATCAGAATCTCATCTTTGTGAAAAATGTGCAGATAAAGGGTATTATTGAATATAAGCCCTCGATGCTTAAAATATATAAAAATTTTATTTCAACGTATACAAAAAATAAATCTACCTGCGTTACAGCACGGCAGGAGACGGGGAAGGGGGGCCGCGGGCCGCCGCGAAGCTAAGCAAATTTAATGTTTGAAAGAGAAATAATGTCAATGGATTTTATTTCGTTTTTAAAAAGGTAATAATGTCAATTGACTTTATTTCGCACCAGGGTGGGAAATAAAGTAAATTGACCTTATTTCCGTTGATCTTATTACCTGTCACCAAATCTGTTACTCAGAACAAATAAACAAGTGGCGCAAAGTTTGGCTGCAGTAAAACTGTTTATGCCGCTATTTTGAAATGTCAAACCTTCTGCTTTTCGAAAACTTCTGTTGCGACAAAACCTAATGAAAACATTCTCTCTAATTCAAGCAGCAGAGTGCCGGTTACTAAGATGAATTTGCAATACTATAAAGCCGCCATATCACTCTTAAGTAGGAGGCAAACCGTACCGCATACAAAACCCCAAATAATTTTCAAAGTCCTTCGAATATGATTTAAACACTTTTACATTAGAAGCATCGTTGCATTTTCGTTGCAGCTTCATAGCCCAACTCCATGGCGGCAGTCAGCCATTCAGTCAATCTTGAAAGTCATGCAGACCTTATACCCCAAATAATTTTCTGGTATAATAAAATGTGACCTTCGCCCTTTACTGGTGAGTGGTTGGCAGCAGGTTTCTTCTCGGCTACAACCCTTGTAAAGAAATGCTGCTTTTTCGACTTTTAAGAAGAAGGGACTGGTATTACTTCGCTACTCTTCCCGGACTGCAGACCGAGTCATTGACACTCAGACTCAAACGATCCACAATTATTTCTTTCCAAAGGCTGTCACTTCAGTAGCTTTCCCTAAAGTTTTTGTGACATTTTTATACTGTCGAAAATCGTTTTTCTTTTTTCTAGGCAAACCCCTAACGCCATGCCGAAACTGTGGACTAACTAAAGCTTCAAAGTCCTTCGAATATGATTTAAACACTTTTACATTAGAAGCATCGTTGTATTTTCGTTGCAGCTTCATAGCCCAACTCCATGGCGGCAGTCAGCCATTCAGTCAACCTTGAAAGTCATGCAGATGTTAGTTATGATTTATTTTCGCAGTATTTAGTATTTTTCTGTGTTGTTGTTTTCTCTCAGCACATATGCAGTTGTTTTTAACTGGCCACACAATTAACCACAAATTCGAAAGATTCTTTCCTGCTCGCATCCATACATACATAGGATACATAGCTCATGCGCAATGTCTTGCTAATGCTACAATGGCATATATTTATGCACTTATGATTGCTACACAACAACAACATAGTCTTGTGTAATATTTTGTTGTTTTTTTAATTACATATATTTAAATTTATTAACTTAGAAAGTTAACTTAAATGTGGCATTCAATGTTATGTGCATGCAGTTAGCAAGCGACATGAAGGCTGAAGCTATAACGCGAGCAAGCAAGAATATGTTGCAGCAGCGTCGGCGGTGGCGGCCACGTGCAACATGCGGATCCGCTTTGCCGTTGGAGTGGAGCGCTTTTTGCCGCCTTAATGTTGTTTGTTTTACCACAATTTTTCGGCTGCTGCAAGTAGTAATTCTATTTTTTGGCTTTAAGTTTCTAAATGTTTCGTTTTTGATTTGTTTTTTTTTTTTTCTACTTGTGGGATCTCGAGCATTTTCTGTAACTGCACGCGTCATGATTTATTTTGCATTTACTTTTGGCAGCACGTTCTTCACTAGGACAGACACACACACATATGTATGCACATAAAAGTCAGCCCGTTCGTTCATCCATTTGTTGCATGAAGAATTGCTCAACGTCTTGTGGCAATAGTTTGAAATAATTAAGTTATACTTTGCAGTTGGATTGCGCTGACTTGGTGACTGCTGAAAAAAGAGTGGTGTGTATTTTTTTTTTTATCATTTTCATCACCTCACGCATCGCAGTCACAGGTCCGCAGTAACTAAATAAATATTTAAACAACATTTAAATGGTATGCTGATTTATTAGAAGCAATTAAATCATACCGTTAGCAGTTCATAAAAGGCATTAACCTGCCGCTGGAGGTTAGCTGCGAGAATGCGACTATGTGAATTTACATAGCTGTAAGCTTAATATTTGTAGGATAGCTACCATGTCAGAAAATTTCGGTAGCACATAATGTTCATTATATTTTAGCTTCCGTTTCTCTTATCTTATCGCCCAATATTTAATATATTTTGCATAACACGCCCCACGTGATTTTGTCTTGCAAATGCCTGTTACAGAGCCCGATTTAGGCTGGGTTCGTCTAAACTAATTTATTAAAGCTGCGAAGATGGGAATGAGAAAATTTCCAAAACCATATAGTATGCATATGGCGACACATATGGTGACACGAACAGCTTTGATAGCACTTATTTGTTATATAAATATGTATTAATGTTGTTTTATTATTTTTCTCGGACAATTGGTGCCGCAGGCTTTGGCAAACTTAGTCATCGAGCCATACTTGGTTGAAAAACGCATAAAATTTGTCCAAACTTTAGAAGCTAAACTATGTCCACTGCAAGAAATAACTATGCACCCACAAGGAGTCACTGTTTGGTGTGTTTTTGGACTGGCGGAGTCATCGGGCGGTACTTCTTCGAAAATGATGCCGCCGGTAGCGCTATTACGGTGAACGGACGTTATCGTGGCATGATAACAAACTGTTTATGAGCATAGTTAGATGACACGAACGGGGACAATATGAGGTTACCACAGGACGGCGCCACTTGCCACACAGTGAATGAAAGAGTGGCATTATTCCGATCATCTACAGGCTTCTTGAATCATCTTAAAATGTCGCTTTTTCTGTATATTAAGCCTAGTTCCCATGAACACTGCAACCTTACTTGCAGGTATACTTTGTGATCTGGTGTCCCTCAGTCTGCACAGGGACGACGAACCCAACTCTTGCTCAGAGTGAACTAAAACTAACAAAGGATGATGGAAATTCGTTATAAAATAAATACACAATACTCCTAGCCTATCTATCGGAAGCACCAACGTTCAAAAACAAATTAGAAACTGACGGGTACCCAGTGAGAATTCCTTCTCGGACCTATTTAGCATTCGCTTCAAATCTGCGCTCCAAATTTTTTCTCGTTTCCGCTTCTCTATGAGACTGTGCGCGGCTTGGGGGCGACTTGATTGCCATTTACACTACCCACTTCATTTAAACGCCACACTAAAAAAAAAAACGGTTTCTCTCGAGACCTGGTCAAAATGTCAAAAATTTACAAAAACAGTTCACTGTACATAATTGTATAATTTCCTTTGCCACCTGTTGCTTTCAAATACAATCACAGACTTGTTCGCTCCTGGAGCTGTCAAAATAATTCAGCATCAAACATTGTAAACAGATTGCTTCCAAGAACAGGAGTAATCGGGGGCGAAGGGAATGTATGTAACTTAAAAAAATAAATCACTCCTACGCATGCGCCTCAGGGTGGCCAGCTGCATAAAAATTAGTCACAACACTATGGTACAAGTTGCTGCTCGACGCAAGATTTGTACAGTGGCCACTCTAAACATCGCACACATTCACACCGACAAAGGTCCAAACAAAGTTCATACCCAATCACAATTATTTGCGATAATCGAAAATAAATTTTATTTGCATTAGTTAGTGGTGCTCTTAAAACGCTTGCGAAACGTTCGCAAAGCGGTGTTTCAGAGCTTCAGTGATTAAAGTTTACAAAGAGAAAGTATATTAAAATTATCTATTAAATAATAGTACCTAATAAAATAAACTCTCGCGAATGAGTGCAACAACATTTCGACGTTTTTGTGCCAGCTGCCTTGTTGGCCTGCTGCTCTCCTCCTACGCCACCTATGTGGAGTTGCGAGCGGAAAAGGATGCTAGCTACGTGGCAATGTGCGATTTGAGTCCGAAAGTCAGTTGTACGGCGGTGTTTACTTCAAGGTGAGTTATTACAAATATATATTTAGTGAAATTCTCAATAAATTATTAAAATCTCAAAATTGTTGCATTATTTTGCAGCTACGGCAGAGGTTTTGGCCTAACAAAATATTTAACCAGCTGGAATCCACCGAATGGCGTGCTAGGCATTACCTTCTATATTTTGCTGCTGCTGTTGAGTGAGTGAAACTTAAAAGTGTTATTAACAATTTTTGCTTCCATTAATATTTGAATATATGTATACCTTTGTTGAAAAAACCGTTGAAATTTTTGCCTTTACCTTTCCTCAGCTCCACCACGCCATCACTTGCTCTCACTGCTGCAGCTTTTACTCTGCTTCGTTTCGAATTTACTTTCCGTTTACTTGGCTTATTTGTTGTATTTTGTACTGGAGGACTTATGTGTCGTTTGCGTTTCGATTTATGTTGTTAATTTCGTTTGTTTGTTGGAGTCATGGAAAATTTACAAACAGATTTGGTGCAACAACGTTAAAGCTCATTCGAAAGTGCAAAATGGCAGCAATAAGAATAATTAGAAATATACATAAATACATTCATACATACATATGTTGAAAAATTTCAATATTTTAAGATTTTGAAATGTAAAAAATAAATTGTATTAATTAAACTCAAAAATTTTAATTGAGCCTTAGCGAACTTTTGCTCTTTCTAGACTAGAGTGCCGTAAAACAAGGAAGCATTGATACCGTAAACGCATATTGTATTTCGTTTATGATTCCCTAACCCCTGAGTGCCCAAAATAACCTCAGTCTACTGAATTGTCAAGTCGTCAATTTATATTGGTAAAAAAATTCGTAACATTAAGAAATTGACAGCACTCGAATTCATAAGTGGGCTTGAACGATGGCCGGCATAATGCTCTGCCAATGCAGGGTCGGATGGCGATCCCTCTTGTAGTACCAAAAACAGTGGATACTGGTGCAAGATAGATAGCAAGCTGTTGTGGCTGTTAACTAAATTCTCACTGACTACGGTTGATGATAACTATCGGCGGATTCAGTTTATGGATTACCCTCCCGGAAAACAGTTTATGATCACTCTCGGTGCTGACTGTGGTTTAAACTTAATTTAAATGCTCGAGCTAACCGGTTTAAACGAAAATTAGCCAATTAAGTGTCAGCCTCAACAGATGACGCATGTATGAGTGTGTATGACTTGGCTTCTGAGGTGCTGAGAAAAGACAGAAAATTTTGCTCTACATCATGATGTGCACCCTAGCTGGGAGTATTTGGGTCTTTCTGTGTAAATTATGCTCGCGCAACATCAGAAGGCATACCGTGATGGTCCTTAGCTCGGCGTTCTGACAAGACGCAGGCGCTAGAATAATTAAGTACCAGCCGGCCAATCGTCATTTATGTTGCCATCACTGTTTCTTTGTATTGTTTCCCCTATTTCTACATCGAACGATTTGAGGACGCTGCGTCGCGGCCTCATACTTTATTGATGTAAAAAGGTAACGCCTAAAATATTCAAGTTTTTTATGGTCACCATGGTTATAGATATCAGCGGGTATGCCTATGTACAGCTTAATCTCCTACGTCCAAGTAGACGTAATAATTTCTTTTGATTTCGTATTGGAAAGGTTAAGTTTCAGTATTGCGAATAAGCTGAAAAAGATCTGACAGATTAGACCAAGAAAACGCATTCTAATGAGGAAGGCAGTTTAGAGATATAGAAAATAATAAGATGAGGTTGGAATAGTTGAGCTATCCTTAATTAGGCATTCAAGAATGGAATGCCAGCTATGAAAACAAAATGGTAAGGCTTTTGCTTTTTGCAAGCTCCGGGGTGACTCTGTTAACTTTATCACCGTGATTTCCGAAGATCCAAAGCTAAAGTATATTACAACTCTTTCAAAATCTGGAACGAAATAGTCTTGTCCACTTAGGGTCATAACATTAAACGAGTTCTTCTTTGTGTTTTTTTTTTTCTTACGACACTTTGAACCCTTAACTTCCTTCAATAAAATTTCACTTCGCTAACGGATTATTTATTAAAATTACAATCGGCCATCTCCAGAAAAAAAAACATCCGTTGACCCACTGCCCGCCATCACCTGTCTAATCAAAAAATAATAGAAAGTAACGTCACTTAAACTTAATACTTTTACGTTCACAAAAACAAAACTATGTGCGAATATAAGTATATCGGCGAACACTTCGGCATGTTCTACTCGCGCACAAACAATAAACTGCGATTAAGTGCAACATATTAACTTGCATTGTGTACATGACGTTAATCGCTGGTGGAGGGTCAAAAAGGCAAAGCCACCGATGAGCGAGACTCGATATGCTGTCACCTACCACAACTTAAAGCGAGCAGGCAATTGTAAGCACCCTCATACTATTCCTGCTGAGAAAGAAAAAAGCTGCAAGCGAGCAAACTAGTACATATAGTAAGTACATTAGGGTGACTCACTAAACAGAAATTGCAGTTGTAAACCTTATTCATAAAACTTATTGTATTATGAGACTTCCGCCAAAATATTTCAGAAAATACTAAGATTAAAGTGAACTGGATCAATTTGAAAATGCCTTAAAAATCGTGTTTTATATGTAAAATTAGTTTTTAAAAACAGTTTGTCCAAAAAAATCCACTTAGAGTAAGAAGAGTTAAGGCTGAGATAATTTTTTGGAAAATATATTTATAAAAATAGACTTTTTTTATAAAAAAAACTCAATTTTTGAACTTATTTTCAAATCGGCCCAGCTCACTTTAATCGTAACGATTTTCGGAAATATTTTTGCAGTAGCCTTAAAATATAATAAATTGTATAACTCCGATGGAACCATTTTTTTTTTGTATAGAGTGTGATGCACCCTAGTGTACATACATACACACTTACGTACGTGCAAAGTGTGTTGACAAATTAACGAAATCGCTAGCGACCCTTTGGCCTCAAGCGCACTACAATCACCGAGATTCCATAACAAAATCAAAAATAAATACAAACTAACTAACTAAAATACAATTCTGTAATATTCGTCTTATAGGAAAATTTATATCCGTTTAAGTGTTGTGACGAGTGCAACTCGTTCAATAACCAAACACAGGGAGGGGGGAGTAGAAGCTGAATTTTTTGAACGCGCGGGCGCGCGCTCGCTTTAAAAAGCGAATCTGCCGCAATCACGCATTCTGGGTACCTACATATGTACATACGTATGAGCACTTACTCCCCACTCGTAGCTGTAAATTGCATGAAAAATATTATGCAATTAATTTTGTAGCACGTTTTGCGCGCTAAGCATCGAGTACTAAACGCTGAACGCCGCGCTTTGAGTGCTAAGCATAACAGTCAGACGCGCGCGGCAGCTGCATGACGGCGGAGGAGGATCTGGCGCTGCAGTGCGCTGGTCTGACCTGGCATGGCTTCGCTTGGCGTTTGGCTGGCGCTCCAGTTGGTGGTCGTGCGTGTAGCAGTTTTCGTTTATTTTAATTGTTATTATTGTTGTTGTCAACGCTAAGCACGTGTGTTCGCTCTGGCAATGCAATTTTCGCTCTTGTTGTTGTTTTTGTTGTGCCCCTGGCTGTGTTTTCCAGTTCACTTACAATTCTTGTGCGTTGATATTTTAATCACGTTTCAACACAATTTTACATAGATCCTCTTCTTTATCTGCTGCTGTTCTGTGGCTTGGCGGTGTTGCAGGTCGGCGCTTAAGGGCATCGCGTACGTGCATATCTACGACTCGGTAAAATGAATTGCTAGCAATTTTTTATTACTATTTTCTAGCTACTGTTGGTACTACTTATTGCGTATCCGCGTCGCAAGCAGTAGTCAATATTTGGAATACCCATCAAGAATTATTCTGCAATTTTTAAATGTGAAGTTAAAGCTAATGCCCGTTGTGCTCCGCCAACCGCAGAACTGTCATTCAATAATAGGGATGCGTTCCTTTACTTTTAATGGTGACCTCAGGCCACGAAACAGTGATTAATATTTAAGTACATACAGCTTGGATGTCCGATCTCACTATCTCATGTAGTTGATTTTTTCAAAGCTCGCAGAGTGTCATTCCAGTTCAGGCAGGAGGAGGTCAATATGTCACGTGAAGAGTTCATTGGGACTGTCCTCAGGCCAGCGTGCTTTCTTTTTTGCTCTGGTGCTTGGTAATTGATCACCATCGTGATTCCTAGTGGAGTGACTTCATTAAAAGTTGAATCAATCAATCAATGATAGGTTGAGGCCTGACTCATTACGGACGACATAAACCTAATATTTGGAGATGTAAAATCAGCAAGAAAATTATGTTTTGTATCGAGCTGGGATGATTCAGACTCAACGATATAATCTGAATTAACGGAGGAGGCTAAGGCTGACCGACATTGCATGCTTGTGCTGATAGGGTTCTTTGTGGGTTCAAGTTCTTATAAATGGAGTAGCAACCCAGAAACTAAATGATTGTGCCCAATCCGACTGCATTGGGGCGAAAATTGACACTAATACTAGATTGCAATCTCTAGTTTTTACTGGTATTTTTACTATGTTAGCATCTTCTTAGCGAAAGTACATAGTCAGGCGGGCCAAAATAGACTGGCACTGTAAGATGAGAATAAGGACGAATTGACAAAATCAAAATTCGTAATGGGCGAACAACATTTTCCTCTCGGGATAATCAATGGCTTGAATAGAATAGAACTAGCCGGCCTAAGGCAGTCAGACAGTCTTTAAAAGAAATGGTGAAGGAGAGATCGCCACATCTCCAAATCAGACTTCTTTCACGTCTTCAGCTGTGGTCTATGTGCAAAGTCAGCATACTAACCGCTGAGTTAAGCACTCTTCGTAAACTCAATTTGCTTATCCTTTTTTTGTTGGATTGAGGTTGAGTCCGGCCCTGTTTCCACAATATCTTGGGCTGTGTGGAGCGTACCCTGCCTTCGTCCGAGACAATCAAAGAAAAAATATCCATACCTAAAAAAATTTCTGGGATGCAGTAATCTCCAAACAAAAAAAGCAGGAAAATCTTGTTACATTATGTTTACATACCAATAAAACCAGAAAAAGAAAAGGTATTTCCAGATTAAGTATTGTAAGGAATCGATTCACCACTACCGCTTTACCAAAACAAAGTCTAATAAAAAATGTAAGCAGATTCAACGACAACTGCCCACCAACCAACTAAACCAAGCTGAGGTCCTTTTAACTCTTTAAACACTAGTGTTACATATATGTAACGCTCGAATTACGTGGAGTAATATTGTTGTTATTCAAATTTTTATTACATAACAAAGATTCACAAGTGTTACATATATGTTTCAGGTCATACAGACACCCCTTTAAAGAGGTCGAAACTTTTCATTATGGGTTTTTGAACATATCCTCTCTTTTAGTGTCCTCCAAAATTTTTTTTCATCTCAATTTCCTCTTTTGCTTTCGCGTTTAATGAGTTAAGAAGGCTTTACTATATATAGGGTGATGCAGATGTCGTTAATGTTTTTTCATACAATGAATACTACACACTTTGGCAAACTTAATCATGGAGCGATACTCAGTTGAACAACGCGTAAAACTGCAAGAAGTGCATTTCGCGCATTGCGATGAGGCACATTTGAGTAAAACTGCCGCATTTGGGCTGCTAAAAAACTACATGTCATTCAAGAAAGAACTATGCACCCACATCGAGTCACT